TAGTAGTAGTAGTGGTAGTCGTCGTCGTAGTAGTCGTAGTAGTCGTAGTAGTAGTGGTAGTAGTAGTAGTAGTAGTTGTTGTTGTTGTTGTTGGTGGTGGTGGTTGTAGTAGTAGTAGTTGTAGTGGTAGTGGTAACGGCAGCGGTAGTGGTAGTGGTACTGAGATGGCTTCGTACCTATGACTATAGTTATAGTTATCGTATGTATGGTCATAACCCAGGGCTAGCGCATACATTTGTGGCATTTATAACATGGTTTAGGGTGGTCTTTTACTACTTATAGTACACTTAGGTCATAGATATATGTATGGTTATATGTAGGGCCTGTTGAGACTGATAAGGCTTAGCGTGCTTATGTTCTAGTTATGAACTCAGGTTTTTTTTCAAGACGTTTGCGGGCTCGGAGGTTTTTTCGGCTCCAAAAGTGGAGAATGGCGGAGAGGTATAGTGTTATAGCAGTTATACTATACATATGTTCTCTTGTGCTCGGAGCAGGCTTTCTCCGAGAGAGCAGACGCCTTTAGAAAACGTGTCTCGCGTAGCTTCACAATAGAAAAGTAAACGTGGGGCGTCAGGAAACCTAAGCAGACGCGATGTCTCGCGCTTGTCTCGCGGAGTCTCGCGCGTTCACATGTCCTTCACTTTTCATTTTTGTTGCCGACCTCGCAGGCAGGCGGGCTCAGATCCGAATAAGGCAGTATATGACCATGGAAGACATCCGGTTGGGCCTTCTCTGAGACTTGCGTGTGGCAGGTCGATCGAACCGATTGGTTCTTCACGCCGCACTTTTGGAAGCAAAGTCAAGACACCTTCGACTGTGTCTACTGAAAAAGTTTTGCTCGTGCTGCGCGCGGTTCGTGCTCGTATGTATAGATTCTGCATGATTCTGCTGTGTTTCCGGTAAGAACCAGTTTTTCGGAAAAAACATTGTTTTTAGCTGGTTACACTTATGAACGTACTGATGGCACTTATACTACTTATGTATAAGTATGACTACAACTAGTTATGATACTTATAAGTATAACTGCTATAAGTATAGCTATAAGAGCAAAGCCCTCCGGTAGTGGTAGTAGTGGTAGTGGTAGTAGTCGTCGTCGTCGTCGTCGTCCCAGCGGTTTGACTTTCAATTTTTGTGAACCCATGCCACCTTTAGGGTTGGGAGATTGGAAGCACAGTCAGCCTGTGAGGCTCATGTCGGGCCGCTTAGACAGTCCCTCCTTGAAGCTGCGGGATGCCCAGCTCCGTGAAGACTGGACACAGAAGTTTCAAGCTGTCCGAGGAGTTCTTGAGGGTTTTACGCCACAGAATTAAATGAACCACCTCCGTGGTTCATTTGATGGTTTCTTGAGCTGTGCCGTTTGCAAGGCACAGTAGCTTAAGTGGTATGGCCCCTGCAACTGCACACGGTGAGTACCGCAAAGTGCGTTTCTGGAAAATGTGCTGTGCAGGTGGGTTGCTCGAACGATAAAATAAAAATAGGGGCCATTTAGTAAGGCCAAAAATCGTATTCTGAAAGGTGCGCAATTTGGTCTTGAGGAGAGACTTTGTTTTGACTGTTCAAGACCTTTATGCTTTGTTTTTGCTTCAATCATGCTTCGCTTCTGCTTCGCTTCTTCCTGGCGAAAATTCACTTCAATTATGCAAGCAACGCGTGTTTGTCCGAGTATACCATACTGTACATGGGCTTTGTGCTGCCAGGCAAGAGCTGTTGCCCGACGATGGCTACATGGAGGAGGACTGCGCCAGCATGGATTCCTGTTTTCTCTGCGCCTGCAAATTATGGCTAATGGGTCAAACACGCCTCTCACACCTACCTCAAACCTGCACAACGATGTGAAAGTATCGAAAGTAAGATGACAACTTGTCAGCTTTCAGCGGTGGCCTCCAACCTGATAGCGATCAAAGAAAGGCAAAGCCTCTCCAAGCTCCTTTGATAAGGCTTGCCAAGAATAATTGAAGTATGTCACGGCATTTTAACTGACAGCTTTGTTCGGTGGACATTGTCGCGTAGGATGTCACCGCTCTCTTGCCGGACTTCCTCGCCAATGAGTGGCGGAACGACGATTATTGGAGAGGCTCGAAAGACCTCTTCGGAGACCTTTTTTCTCGAGAACTGAAGGCTCTGGGGTTCTAAAGACCAACTGATTTTTGGAAAGCGCAGAAAATTCTCCGGTCAGAAAATGTCAACTTGATAAACGGGCTTGAAAGCGAAGAGTCTGTTTAGACACCTCAAAACATCGGGAGAACTGTCAGTGTCGAGAAAAGAGGTGACACGCCACATCTGGCACCGCCTGGAGCCCAAAATACATATCGCCCAAGCAAGACGGCAATTTTTTGGTTTCCTTGGCATCCTTTTCTCTGAGAGCAGACTTTGCAAGTGCATTCTTCAGGCCTCATTCCTACTCCACAGGGCTCAGAACTCAGAGCGAGGTCGGAGCTGTTGAAGGTTCGGTTTTCGTCGATTTCAGACTCATCTCGCCAATTCAAGGCTACCGCCTCCAATACAGCCACAGACTCAGACTTGTAACTTCTGTATGATCCTCTCTCTTTCTATATCTATATATATATATAACATATATCAAGCTTGACCTTTGCACGCGCGGTGCGTGGCCTGGCTCCTTGAAACAAGGCCACCAAAGGAATGGAATGAAAGGACGGAGAGAACCCCCACTCCTTTGAGACAAATGGATTGGTCGGCAATGCCACGTTTGCCCTCAGCAATCTTATGCGATCTCTATTTTTGTGAAAGAATTCGACTTCAACGATTCGTCCTTATGCTTCTCTCGAACAAAGACTTCTCCGAACAAAATCGATGGACCTCTCCTCGCCAGGGCCGACAACTTCATGGGCATCTCTCGCCGAACGGAGGTGGAGTGTTTGCCGTGAAGCGCAGAGAGGAAAATCCCACAGGATCCGAAGAGGAACTTATGGTATCCGATGTGTGCGTCGTCCAGTCCTTTTGTGTCGTTGAAGGATCAATTTTGAGTTGCGACAACCGACAACACGCAAAGTGACCAAACAGATTATTGCGAACCATTTTCCATGTAAGCCACAGAGCATCGTGTCAGTCATTCTCACCTGACTAGTCAAGAAAAGGTGCGTATGGTAGCGAAGAGAAGGAGGCAACCCCCTGGAGCTCCGAGCGCAAAGCCCCTAGGTCACTGGGATCCCAAATGCAATTTCGAGCCATAGATTTGGGGCCTTCGGAACGCAACAGCTGTTGTTGTAAGCAACGCTCTGTATCCAGTACATTGTGTCAAAGAGACCTTAGTACAAGGAGAAGATGGAGGAGATCAGAGAAATCCTTATGACTATAGTTAGCGCAGAGTACTCTGGCAACAACATCAGCAGCTGAGGCAGCGAAGAAAAGAAGTTGAGGACAAGGAGTCACCAACCACAGACGGGTCAAAATTGATAGCACTTGTTCAGCAAAGCCCAACATCTTTGACTTTAAGCCACAAGAAGAAGAGATCAAGGCATTCAGAGAGTGGTCATGGGTCTTTGAGAAGTATTTGAGCGCAGTTGATGAGGGCTACGTGAAGGATTTGAAGGAAATTCGTGGGAAGCCAAATGACAAATTGGACATGGAGTTGGCTGATGATGCATGGGAAACCAGGTGCATCAAGCTCTATGGATTGTCAGCTTCATTGATGAGAGGAAGGGCGCTGCAATTGGTGAAAGCTGTGGAAGACTCCAATGGATTTGATGCTTGGAGAAGTTTGAATAGAGATTTGAAACCAACTTCAAAGCCGAGAGGCTTCGCGCTCTTGGGAGCAGCCACTACATGGCCAGCGTTTTCAACGAACAGTGCACTACAACCTCAAACTCTTGAAGCTTGAAGAAGATTTTGAAGGGACAGTCAAGTCAGAAACTACATGTCAGGAAGAGGTGAAATCTGCTATTCTTTTGAGATGTGTGGGTGGTCAACCCAAGTCATACTTGAACTTGACAATTGGCGACACTGTTCAATACTCAACTTTGAGGGACCAAGTGTTGCGATGGGATAGATCTCAGCAAAAGTGGGCTACTTCCATGGTGGCTAGTGGCAGTGCAGACTATCAAGAGCCTATGCCAATGGATGTTGATCGAGCCCAAAATGCCAAAAGAAAAGGTAAGAAGGGCAAGAGTGACCAACAGAAAGGTAAAGGTAAAGGTAAAGATGCCAAGGGCAAAGGACATAGAGGAAAAGGAGATCAGAAAGGAAAGGAAGGTAATTAGAAGGGCAAAGGTAAAGGCAAAGACCAAAAAGGCAAAGGTGTGGCAACATGTTACACTTGTGGAAAGCCAGGAAATCTTGCTAAAGACTGTTGGAGGAACAATATTCGACAGGTAGCAAGTGATCAAGCCCATTCATCTTCAGGAGGAGCATCAGTGACAACTCATACAGTTGGCCAACAGCGTGCTAATGTGAGCCAACAAGGGAGAGAACGGAGACCAAACCAGTGGTCAGAAGAATTGAGAACAGTGAGCCAATCATCTTTGACCAGAGACAAGGAGATGATGAGCTAGAAGATGAGGGAATTCGAGTAATTTACTTCTACATTGGAGATGATGATGATGATGATGATGATGAGCCAGAATGCCAAGAAGTTGGGGAGATTGACGTCTCAGTTGATGAGCCCATGAAAGAGAATGGGGATGTGGCCATCATTATTGACAGTGGAGCTGATGTAGCGTTATTCCCTTTGAGTATGGCAGATCACGGAGAAGGAGAATTGCAATTCAGCGCAAAGACCAAACTACAAGGTGCGCAGGGAAATCGTATCCCCACAGGAGGTGGGAAAAGTGTTGAAATTCCCATGCGTGACCTTGATGGACGAGACGTTCTTCTCAAAGAGCATGTGATCTTCAGTTCAAAGGTGAACCAACCCATACTTTGTTATGGAAGGTTGATGGAACATGGTTGGGGAATCAATAGCAGAGAGCAAATGTTGGATAATGGTGACTTGAAGGTACCAGAGAGACAAGAATTTAATGGTAGAAAATGGACTATTGACTATGGTGGCAAAGTGGGCTCAAAGAACTCAAAGAAGCATTTTAGAGTCTCACATCGCCAAAAAGGAGTGCGAACCATTTTCCGTGTAAACCACAAAAGATGAACAACATAACTAGCATCATGTCAGTCAGTCTCACCTGACTGCAGCCCTTTTGTGAATCAAGAGAAAGTGCGTAATTATAGACCCACGTTGCTTCTGCAGTATCACCTTAGGTCAGGGGGACTGCCGAAGCCATGTCACTTATGAAGGAATGTGTGCAAGGGAGGGGGCATATTCCCGGAAGCACGGCAAAGTCTGCAAGGGACACATTCAGAAATGTTTGACGTTCTTGAACGTGCCATGGATTGCTTGGTGCCTTGGCCTCCTTTGCGGTCTGTGCCTTGCGGCAGCGGGTGAACCAAACAGCAGGCTTGCACCGCTGTCAGAAAATGCGCCAGATTTCGGTGACATACTGTGCAAGTCGCTGGCACTTTTTCACTCGCTTCCGAGAGGTAAGGATTTGGAATTCTCGACCTGGGAGAAGAAGCAGTACTTGGACCAAATAGAGCAGTGGAAATGGAAGCATACTGTTTCTCTTCAGGGTCAAGCTAAGTCTTGTTTCTGTTGACTTGGGTGTCTTGAATGAACTTCCTTGTAAAGATTTTGGCAATTTTAGTGGTGGGAGATTTGGAGAAAGAGCTGAGGCCTCAGTAGATGTTTTTTGGCGCATCAGAACACCACAGCATGCGGGAATGGCCCCCAGGCGTCAACCTGAATTCTGCTTGTCCAATAAACGCACGTTGAATCAAGAGAAGCTGACGGATGGTGGCATAGGAGATTTTCCATCTATTGATACGTGTTTATTGACGATTTTGCGAAGCATGTGCGTTGTGACCTTCATTTTACGCTTGCGAGCTGTGACAGCACGAAGCAAAGCTCCGGATGTGAGGAGCATGTGAATGTCCTGGACACAAAGACCCCACGCTGGAGTCTTCCACCGTGCTGGCGCGATGGACTTCTTGGACCACAGAGATTGATGGAAGAAATGCAAAAGGCAGGGCCGGCAAGAGAAGGATGAAGCAACAAAAATACAATCTCTTGAAGACATGCTAGATGTGATTAGGAACATGGGGAGCTCCATAGAGGCCATAAATGATCGGTTCTGAGAACATGGAGTCAGCAAGGATTGTGATTGTTGCTATGCTCCAACAGGCCACGCAAGGTATTTGTGCCTGTAGCCACGTCTTGAGGTCGCCCGCTGGAGTGTTCGTGCCTCCTTGTGGTGCGAGGCAATGCCCGAAATGCTGACGGATGAGGCACACTCCGCGAGCTGGAGTCCTTGACTAAGCTGGAGGCCTCGATGCACACTCCGCGACCAAGTCCGAAAAGCACCGACGGAGCAGACTGCAGCGGAGTGAAGGACATGATCGTCACGATGGCATCCTTCCGCTCGAAAGGTTCCGGTCGGGCTTCACGACACCGACCGCGGCTTCAAAAGTGAAGATGCGGCTCCAATGAGCTTTGTGACGGCCTTTTTGTTGAGAAAAGCGTTGCTGAGAGATGGAAAGAAGCCGTCCGAGTCAGACATGATTGAGAAGCAAAGAAAGTGTGTTTGCACTTCGCCAAAGAGATATAACTGCCACGTCCGTTGCAGGTGCCTAGCGTGGGAATCATTGGCCAGGCACCTGCCGATAGCTTAAACTCAGCCTAAGGCGAGTAGCTTTTTTGGTAGGTGTCCCCATGTCCATCTCCAGAATGTCGGCTGGTCACACGATATTTGAAGGTCTTTGGTACCATCCTCATAAACAGCGAGAGCCTTTCGCTGATCGTGTCACCCCAAAGCGTTCAGAAAGACAACGCATCGGATGCAGCTTGAGGTGGGTGCAGACCGCCGGGCCGCAGCACAAGGCACAGATCCACTGATGGCTCGAGATTTGTCATTCAGAAACCTGCATGCTTGCAAAAAACATGCTACTAGGGGCTCCTGGCATCGCTACTAGGAGCAAGGACGCTACTAGGGGCTCCTGGCCTTACTAGCTGCAGCCGCTGCTCAATTGGCAACTCAAAGGACTGAGACACCGAAGGAAGAAAGTTGGGCGGAAAGCTGCGCATCCAGCATGGCTGAGACAAGTTTCTCCGAGCTCCTCCATGTCGTCATTCACCATGCGGACTCTCCTGCCCAAGGGAAAGACAGTTATTGAAAGGAAGGCAAAGAACAGAGAAAAAGAGAAAAAGATGAGACAAGTGGACCAGGGCCCCATTGGGATGCCTTCACCGCCATGGCGGGCAAGACGCCTTCTCCTCATTTCCCGCTGCACAAGCGAGACTTGGGATGTGCCCAGTTCGCCCGCCCGACTGCGGAACCTTTCCAATGCGGTCCGACAAGAAAGGTACAGAAATATATCTGAGTTTACATGCCCAAAATTGAGATGCCTTGCCTTGGTTAAATAGGATTTCTATCGGCATCCCAGACATTTCAGAAAAAACGAGCTCCATCGTTTACTGAACTGAGGACATGTCAAGAGGCATGCTTGGCGGCGCTCGTGACATTTACTATCCAGAGTGGTTCCTTGTGAATGGGAGGCACCCTAGCTGATAGTATGGGGTAATGTCTTTTGCACAAGCTTGGACGCCACATCATGTTTTACTTAATCGACCGTCTCTTCCATTTGATGTGTTCGTTTTGTGACGTCACTTCTTTGTGCCTGCAAGACACCTACAACATGATAGGCCACCACCGAGTTGGTTGCTGTCGAGCTCCCACAGGGAGAGTCTGACAAGGATGCCTTAAAGCAGCGGCAGCTCGTGGGAACTGAGAAGGCTCAGTTGACTCGTGTGCAGAGTTTTATGGAACACTGGGATGAAACACGTTTTATGGAAGTTTACTGCAGACTTTCACAAACAGTGCTATAACACGCACTACATGGGGTGAAGGCAGTGGAGCAGTATCCACAGAAATACATTGAGTTTGACGGTGGCCCTTTGTGTGCCATTTTCTTTTTGTGATGTCCTTTGTTCTCCTTTTTGCTGTAGTTTCGCATTATTTTTTGTTTGAACAACACCTGTAATAATTTTGCAGATGAGGTAAGATCATCGCAGACCGAGCGCACAACATGCGAAGCTACATGAGTTCGAATCTGTGGAGTGGGATGCAAGAAACCCGAATGCCTCCTCGGTGCCCTGGTTGATGTCATACTTTTGCGGGAGTGAACACACATGCCTTTCAACAAAAGCACATGTTGTTTTTTACATCTAATTTGTCACATGTTTTCTGATCGTTCATTGTTTAAAATCTATTTCTTTCTTCACGCAGTGTCAAGTTCACAATTAAGCGAGACGGGCTCTCGATTAAGACTGAGACGAGTGTTAAGAATACCGCTGGCTGCAGCTTTCAGTCTTTGACATTTCTGAAGCTGTTCCGCTGTGTTCCGGTTTCTCAGGATGCAGGGATCTCGTCAATAGCAGCGAGGTCTTTTTGCAGGACCTCTTAGAGTGTGGAATCCAATTCTTGATGGACATGGTGCACTGTTTCCGGGCAACAGCAAAAACGACGTGATGAAATTGAAGACATCATATACCCTTCCTTTCCTTGCCAAGTGCCACGCTAGTAGTAACAGGTGCCTTACTAGTAGTAACAATTCCTCAACTGACAAGGTTTGGTCCAAAACCTGAAACGCACGGCTCCACAGTGTGGGCGTTGCAAGGTCACCCCAAGGTTTTGCTTGCTCTGCCATGCTCTGCCTTTCTATTTCCTCTTTTGTTTGACCGGACTTTAGAACTTTTGACCTTTCTCTTTGTTTTCTTACTGTCCTTCTTTCTCTCCCCACTACCAGCAACCAGCAATCGCTCTTCTCTTAAGCTTGTTCTAGACCTGCAGCTCATTTCCCTTCGAGGAAGTCAGTGGATCAGCGGACGGTGACAAAGTGACACCGATTCGGTGTGTGAATAAGCCACGCAGTCTGGGCAGTCCCCTTGAAAGCGAACTTGGTGTCGTGCGCAACTTGGTGTCGTGAGAACTGAGGTTCTTCTGAGGAACTATTCAGAGATCCTGGTGAGACTGGACTGGTTTGTCCTTGACATGCTTTCGTCGCCACTTTGGTGCTTTTGGGATCGTTTGGGAAGCTTTTTACAATGCAACTTAAAGCATCCAATGTATATAATGTTTTAAATTGCTGTTCTGAGAAGCTGTGGCTTCCTCTGAATCAACAAAGCCTAGCTGAATATTAAAAGCTGATGATAGGCTTGCATTGAATTAATGTGCTTCCAAAATCATTAGTTGCGATTCTTTTCTCTATTCCCTTCTAAGCAATCAAGAGGTGCCTGCAAGCGTGAGCCGTTGCAGAAACCAGATACTTGTGCTGCAAACTTCTAGGTCGTATGAACATCTAGGAAAAGGATTTTTGCTGGGTTCGTGGGCGTGCTGGTGGGCGGATGCTTCCTCTTCATCCATCCTCATCCGCACCCATCCTCATGTTCAACTCCATAGCCATAGGCTTCATCAGACTGCAGGCAAATAATCTACTGTATCCACTCCTCATGCTGCCTCTCCACCCATTCCCAGCTCAACGTGTTCTTTTTTAAATAAGAACTTTGGATGACTGCCAAACTTGAACGTGACAGCGCCTAGTTGCAGAACCAGAGCTTTGCAGTTCTGGCCCATTTACAGCATATTGGAGAGACTTTGTCCACGGTGAGGAGATCTTCGCTCGCTATGATGGAAACAATCCAGACGTTTTGAATCTGGAGATGCCATCAGTGGTTTACAAGTTCAAAGGCAGGGAATGCGAAGCCGTTTTCCTCGTTTGCTGTCCTGTTCCTGTGATGTGTGGTTGTTTGAGTGCAATGCGCCTGCAGGAGTTCTGAGACGCTTGTGATGTGCAAACGTGCGAAAAAGTGACGTGCGTGTTGCGAATGAGAAGTCTTGGTGCAAGATGGATTGACGCCTCGACATCAAGTAGAGCGGATAGAAGTCTTAGACACTCAAAGTCTTTTCACATTCTCTGGTCGAACTTGGTTGGCAGCTTCGTTGTCTTTGTGAAGGCTCCGACCCGGGTGTTGTTTCCACACAACTACCGTGGCCGATTCAAGACCACCAGGCATCGCGGCATCGTTTGGAAACGCACGTTGAGGTCAACATTTGTGGCCTTTTAAGTCTGCAGAAACATCACTTTGGCTTCAGGATGCAGTCAGCGTAGTTCGTGTGATGGGTTGAAATTTTCTTTAAGTTTCTTGCCGAGGTCACCTCTGCCAAAGACATGTCGGCTGGGCCCTATTGGCTGGGAGCTGAAGAGCACTCTGTCAAGACTTCTGAAAGTCCGCCCTTTTCCGCTGGCCATGTAGAATTTCTATTCATTTGTCTCGCAGGTCTGTCGCTGCTTGTGTCGGCCCTTTTCCGTTGGCCATGTAGCATTTCTTTTTATTTGTCTCCCAGGTCTATTCATGTGTCTCCCAGTTGATTTATCTATTTTTCTCCAAACAGTTTACTGTTAGGCGTTCTCAATTCTTTCTTAAGATGTGTCCGCCCTTTCTGTCACTGTTGGTGTCCGCCCTTTTCCGCTGGCCATGCAGAATTTCTATTCATTTGTCTCCCATGTGATTTTTTTATTTACTTTTGTCTCCCATGTTCGGTGCCTGCACCGCTGGTGTCCGCCCTTTTCCGCTGGCCATGCAGCATTTCTATTCATGTCTCCTGGGTTATTTCTTTACGTTTGTCTCCCAAGTTCGGTGCCTGCACCGCTGGTGTCCGCCCGTTTCCGCTGGCCATGCAGCATTTCTATTCATTTGTCTTCCATGCGATTTGTATACTTTTGTTTCCCAGGTTCGGTACCTGCACTGCTGGCGTCCGCCTTTTTCCGCTGGCCATGCAGCATTTCTATTCGTTTGTTTGCCAGATGATTTCTTTACTTCCCCAAACAGGTTGCTGTTAGGGGCTCTCAATGCTTTCTAAGAGTGTGGGCCTTGCTGCGGGACAGCGTGTCCGCCTTCCGTCCGGCTTGTCTCCCTTGGCCTTTGTCTCCCTTCCTGTTGGTCACTGTGTCCGCCTTGTCTCCCTTCTGTCTCCTTTTGTCTCCCTTCTTGTGCTTGTCTCCCTTCTTGTTGGTCATTGTGTCCGTGTTGTCTCCCTTCTATTCCCTTTTGTTTCCTTTTGTCTCCCTTCTTGTCTCCGTTCTTGTTGGTCATTGTGTCCGTCTTGTCTCCCTTTTGTTTTGTTTTGTTTCCCTTCTTGTCTCTCTCTCTCTTCTTGTTGGTCATTGTGTCCGTCTTGTCTCCCTTCTGTTTCATTTTGTCTCCCTTCTTGTTGGTCACTGTGTCCGTGTTGTTCTCCCTTGTCCACCTTCTCTTCCTTCTTGTCTCCCATGTCTCAAAAAAATGGACTTGGGAATGCTTCTTTGTTGTCCCACCTGTTTGGGGTCTACGGTGGTGTAATTTTTTTCAGAATTCAGATCAAGATATTTGTTCCTTTTGCGCAGCTTTTATCAAATCGACGGAATAGAGGAAAGACTTTCCGCAGCTGAAGCTCCTGCGTGCACTGCGTCTGAGGACAGGCGAGCTCCTGTCCAATGAGAGTGCAGAGACTTCAGATGTGACCTGGATGTGACTTCAGTGCAAAACACTGCCCTAGCTATTGGTGTACTTTTGTTCCGGTGTTGTTGAGGTTAGCCTGTCGTGTGCAAATTGTTGTGAATGTCTTAACGGGTCTGAAGTGCTTGAATGTGCAGGCAGCATGTCTCTTTGTTGACAAGGTTGTAACAAGTTATCCAGATTCAACATTTCTGGATACTTTTATAAGATAAGCCTGCTCGCTTCTGTCCTCCTTGCCAGTAGTTCAAGTGTGACTCCGATTGTTTCAACTCAAGATACAAGAGGTTAAGTCTTTCACAAGGAGACGCCATGTTGGGAGAAGATGGAAGAGCCTAGAATGCCTTGTCAGAGAGTTTGTCGTTTTTAGGAAAAAAAAAATATATATGAATTCTGCGAACTTGGATGGAGCTAGTATGCCAGTGTAACATGTTTCGTTTCCTCAGACCTCTGGCCGGCTAGCTAGGGAACGAATTGCAAAGCCAATCAGTAAAGTCAATGTGGTGCTGTGATGCCCAAACGCAAAAACATGTTCAAGAAAGATGTGAACCACAAGGTTTCTTGATGGTGTATAGAAATTATGTAAAATGTGTTGAACGAAGCTTGCTGCCAGCACCGATAAGAGATATACTGTGCGGTTTGGTCAATTGTCAAGGTACGGATCCCAACTTCTTCTGCACCCTTTCCAGGGCAAAAGGCAGGAGAAGCACGAAGAATAATTAAGGAAAGCTTGAATGTGAATGTGGGTCTGTAGTACAGGAAATATAATT